CTTGGTTGTGACTGGCCTTCCCACGCTTCTCGAGGGGCTTCAGTGGAGTCGGGGGATTTGTGCTTGTCAAGAAAACAAGACAGGGTTTGAAATGCTAGTGGGGCCACGTGCACCCCTTTTCTAGGCCCGTTTTTACTTTTCCAGTGTGAAAGTAGCTTACCAAAACCAACAGATGTGACTTTCAAATCCATGCTTAGCAGAGGAATTGAGGTAGTGAGCATGTGTACACTGCATTTTGGTCGTCTTGTGGTTTAGGTCAACAGAACAGGGTGCTTGAAGCTCCCTGGCTGAATGAGTTGGTGGTTATTTAAGTTAAGTCTGAATGCAGTCTTGTTCAGTTCCAGGCGTACCACGTGGGCTGAAGAAAGGAAGCTCAATACAGAGACGTTTGGAGTATCAGGCCGGTTCCTTCGTGGCCGCAGCTTTCGTGGTGGATTTCGAGGTGGAAGGGGTAGTGGAGCAGCAAGGCGAAACCAGACCACTCACAGAGCTGGTACTGGCAGAGTGTAACTTCAGAGGCAAGTTTTTTACAGGAGTAAATACTATCTCTGAGTCAGGCTTGTCTCTTCTTCCTTGCCTGAACTGTCTCTGCAACCTCTATTGCTCTGCAGTCTCATGAATGTATCAAGACTTGTTCCTTATTGTGTCTGATTTATCCTTCAAAGTGGTAGAAGGAAATACGAATGGTTTTAACATGTTGATTGTTTCTTGGGCTAGTCCTCTGTGAAAGCAAGAGCTGCTTGTTTGACCTGAGGCTTTCTAGCAAAATATTTCAGTTCATGGTATTCATGTTTCATGGGTGTGAACGTTGCTTTTCTCTTTTTTTGGGGGGAAGATCCCCATGACGTCAAATCTAATTCTGCCTTTTCTCTGAATAGGTTCTGACATTTTCAGTTCATCGTGTTCATGTTTCATGGGTGTGAACGTTGTTTTTCTCTTTTTTGGGGGGAAGATCCCCATGACGTCAAATCTAATTCTGCCTTTTCTCTGAATAGGTTCTGACATTTCTCCTGAGAGGATGAAACTGTATATAGAAAAAAAACCAACCAACTGCTGCACTAATGTGGGAAAATGGTTCATATTGTTTACTGTCTCAGCTCAAGCGACAGAACTTCATGTACTACTGCTTATATTCTGGACTTATTTTGGACCAGCAACTGTCAGCTGGAATATTCTTTGGAAGAGGGAATGTGTTCAGGGGTACCTTCTTCAGGGTGTCTTTTTTTTGTTCGTGTTTGGTTTGTTTTTGTGTTTTTTTTTTTTTAAGTGCAGACTAACTTACATGTTCGTGTTTGGTTTGTTTTTGTTTTTTTTTTTTAAGTGCAGACTAACTTACATGGTTCTTCTTTCTGGGTCTCTCAAAGGCTGCTATAGTCTAAGCTTAAAGTCAGACTCCTTTTCTGAACCCTGAAGAAGATTAATCATGCTATTTTAACATGGAACCAAAGCTCACTTGAAACAAACCAGCTCTAATTTGTTTGTTCTGAGCAACCAAATGGATTCTTTGGTGCTGCTGGTCTCGCTGTTCTCAGCAGCAGGTGTGAAGGATTCCTGGTGCTGAGGAGTTATGTATATTGTCACTTGGGAATACTGGATTGTGGATCATGTAGTAGTGTAAATGACTGTACAACTGTTTGTTGGCTGGTACTAATGTGGAGGTACTGTGGGTTTACACAGAACTGTGACTCTCCCTCGAGCTGAAGGGTGCTGGGCGCTCCTCCGAGGCTGGGAGCTCCTTACTGGGGTGGGAGGGGACGGTGCGCCGTGTCCTCAGCAGGACAGGAGCGGCAAGTGTCTCCGCTCATGCGCTCAGAATAAAGAGGTTTTGGCAGTAGTCAACTGTCTGGGAAGGAGAACCGAAGCTCTGACTTCTTGCCTCAGTCTGTACCTCGCTCATAGGTAGTACCAAACGCAAACAGTTCTCTGTACACTAGTAGACTGTGGTGGAACACTATGGAATGTTTTCATTAAACTAGGGATGGGAGTCCATATAATGAAGCTTAACAGATGGGCATGTTTAATTTGTTTCCTCTATACCCCCATACTGTAAATAGTTTAGTTGTTTTTCTTTTGTTTTTAAAAATCTGTATGTGGGGAGAGGGGCTGGGAGGGAGGGGTTACATTTGTTTGCATGAATAAGTGGGTTAAATTGCTATAGGCATGTGTCCCTTTTTTGGTTGGTAGGGAATTTTGTTGAAAAAGCACCTTGATGACTGAACCCCTTACATAGCTAGAATTTTTTAGTTATGCATTGACCTAGGTTACTGTAAAAGCTTGGATTTATTTTTGTAGGACTTTATTGCTAAGAATTAGAACATAGCAGTGGGGCTGCTCTTTGGAGTAATGTAAATTGTAATTATAATAAACATGTAAATGTTTAATGTTTCCCTCCTACTTTCTTCTGCATGTAGCTCAGTAATACCAGTCTGTACAACTTGTCAGCTGTCTGTCCTAGCAGGGCTCAAGTCTAAGGCAGAGAAAATGGGGCTGCAGAGTCCTGGCAGAGCTGCGCAGTGTTTGAAACCAGTTTAAAACTCTGATCTGGGCTCTGACCCCCTTGTTCCTGCGTTCTAGTGCCCTTGTTGATGAAGGGACCTGTGGAGCGTTACTGTTGCCCACGCTGCCCTGAGCGTGCACCTCTCCCTGTGCCTGCTGGAGCCCCTGGGCTGGGGGGGCTGAGCTGGAGCTTGGTTGGGGCAGCAGTGCCACTGGTGGGGTAGCCATGATGCTGTCAGTACCTGGGCTCGCACCAGCACCCAGGGTGGGTGCTGGAACTGCTGTGGGCCTCATTGCTGGCAAAACAGCTGGTGTGACACTAAGCGTAAAGGTGGAATTGCATGGCCAGAGTCAGCTGACTTGGCTGAGGTGGCTGTGGCAGAATGCCTCTTTATTTCTTTTTAAGGCAGTAATTCCCTTTTTCTACAGTAAAGCCACAGCTCTAACACATAGAATCACAGAATGGTTTGGGTTGGAAGGGACCTCAAAGATCATCTAGTTCCAACCCCCTGCTGTGGGCAGGGACACCCTCCACTAGATCTAAGACATAATCACTGTTACTGCTGAGGTTGCTGTACTGCAGATGTCCCCCTGGCTCATGGAGGTGTGAGGGAGCTGTGAGAGTCACCAGCCAGCCCCTTGCTCTGGGGCAGATGGCTGCCCCCGGGGCTCTCCTGCAGCCCCCTTGGCTGCTGGGTTGGAGGGTTCCCAACATGGGAAAAGATGGTGATGTGCAGGGAACTAACCACAGCTTTTGTAACCTCAACATTCCAGCCCCAGGACTGATAAAGGAAACACCACAGTATTCCAGCACCCCCCTTCTCTAGCTGATGTGGTCTAACACTTTCCTGTCCTTGATTCCTGTGATACTCTGCCCACACTTTGCTTTGCAGCATTTAGCTGTAAACAAACAGCTTAGTTGTGGTGCAAGAGGCCAGAGAGTGTGTGAGCTTTACTGCAGGCTTGTTGCTGCAGCTGGGACCAGTCCAGGGGCCTCTGAGCAGCCCTTGGGCCCTGCAGGAGCTGGAGCTGCCTGGGGGCAGGGCTGCAGGTAGCTGAGCTGCCTCGGGCAGGGTACTGGGACCCTTGCAGTCCTGGCTGGGCCTGTGCTACACCTAAAAAACCATGTACTGGTTGGCAGTGGCAGACCAAAGAGCTGCTTTCAGGGGCTGTTCCAGTTTATATCCACCAAGGGATGAAGAGGGAAAGTTTTATAATAAAATACTATTGCAAGCAGGTGCTGGGCTGTGTGGGCAAGAGTTCAGGTGGGGGAGAGGCCTGAGGCTTCTCTGAAATAGAAGATACCACTAGGCAGTAACCAACCTTCTCCTGCCCTGAGGGCTGGGAGGGGAGGTGCCCTGGGAGTACAGACAGGCTGGGCAAAGCCTTTTATTGTGCTTAAGGGTTGTAGCAAAAGATAAACAAGGTGCCAGGAACAAAAGAAAAATAATACAATTTTTAACATGGAAGGGGGGGATGAAGGGGCTGCTGTCAATCCTGTTTGCCCCTGTGCAGCATGAGAGACCGGAGGCCTGCTCTGTCCTCTTCCAGAGCAGCACAGGGCCCTGTCACCTCACACACAGCAGGAAATCCAGCTCCCACCCGTGCCCCTTCCTGCCTTTGCAGCATCACAAGGGGCTGCAGAGCACCAGCTCAGCCACCATGGACTTGCCCTCATCTGCCGCCTTACAGCACAGAGCTGGTGATGGCAGATGGATCAACAGCCCCAATGGGACCCTGGAGATGCCACATGGCAAACACCTACCTGACATAAAATTCCCTGTTCCCAGTCACATCTCCTTTGAGCTAAACAGTTGTCACCTGACACCTTCAAATGTATGTATCTCTAAGTTTATTACACTATACACATTAGTATCTGCACAGAGCAGATCCTGCCTCAAGAGCAATGTGATGCTGGTGCACAGCGACATGAAGGCAGAGGTATCTGTGTCCCTGACAGCACCGAGCCATCTCCCATAGCTGAAGGGAAGAGAGAACCAGCTCACACCACTGCTGGTGTCAGGAACAGTCAACAGGCATCATCAGAAACCAAGTTAAACCCAACTCCTGTGGACAAGACATACAGAGGAAGCAGCGTGAGGGTAAATACAAAAGGAGAAAGTGGAGCAGAGCTTCATAGTTGAACTGTGTTGTAGGTAACATTCTTTGGAGTTATTTTTAGCATGAGGAAGCAACTGGTCTACGACTCCCCTAGCGGGCAATGACAACAGCAACACTTTATTCCAAGCCAGATGAATCATGCACCAAGCCCTGCACCTCTTGTTGCAATGCCATGCCCGCCAGGGTCAGCTCTCACTGCCCTCCCACCGTGACCCTCCCACCCTGTGCCATCCCTCAGAGATAAACCAACTCCTGCACTCGCAGGCTGCCCCAAGGCTTACAGCCAGAGCCCAGCATTTACAGTTGAAGATGTCAGGGAAGAAAAAGCCTCATTGCACATTAGTTACGGTCTGCTGAGGTTATAACACAACACTCCAGACAGCTACTAAAAGAAGAAAAAAAACCCAAAAAACAGGGAAAAGCTAACAACTGAGAATCATTTAACAACTGAGGTGTTTTGGAAAAAAATGCAAAGTCTTTGTCCTTTAATGGGTCACTGCTGCATTTTGTAGCCAACCAAATGATCCTAGCTAAGTAAAATCCAAGGAACAGATTTTTTTTAAAATAACAGTTTAAAAAAAAAAACAGTAGGTTTATTGTAGGTCTCAAGAGGGGCACAGTATGAGTAAGTGGAATGCCTACATGTTGTTTATACAGAATAACCCATCACTTGAATTAAAAAGAAGCAGCTAAGCAGTTGGATTTCTTTCATCATGATGTTTTCTTCTGTTTTTTCTTTTCATTTTCTTCCTTTTCTTTTTCAATTTCAGCAACATACTTCTCAATTTCTTCAGGGTTTAGGATCTAAACCAGAAAACACAGGTGACCTTCAGGATACAAATACAACTTACAGGCTTTTATTTAAGCAATTTTAGTTCTGACATGGACAGAGTTAACTGGTATTTCCCCACACAAAGGTACCTTTGTGCAGACACAACAACATTCCTGGGCCACTAATAACAAACAGAAGTATTTGCCAGTGCAAAATGTGAGATTAAGGGCTGGAAGTTACAGCAGATCAACAAGGACAGTATCAGAGAAACAGGCTGACAAGGGAGAAGAGCAAAACAAAGCCCTTACCTTCAGTGGCTGTTCTCGCCTCATAACCGCCAGCTCAATGTTCTTCCCACCAGACTGTACAACCTTAACAGGAATTAGATGTAGGTATTAGGAGTGTGCCCATTAATTAAAACAACCCCCTTTCAGGTCATCTTAGAAGGAGAAGAGATAGGGACAGGGAGTATTTCGCTCATTAGCTCTAAGCACTCCAGCAGCAGTGTAACTCCAAACATAAGGCTCTTCAATACTGGCATCGACACACAGTGGCTGGTGGAGAACAAGTCATTTCCACCATCTGACTTTTGATATCTTCTGTATCCTAAGCTTCAATTCAGAAGTAAAACATTCTGCATGTGGTTTAGCACACCTTTGGTGCGTTTGTTTTAACGCCCAGAACTGAGGTCTGCTCTCCTCCCCAGAGAACTGCTGTACATTCTTCTGTGTAAGCTATGGAAGTCATTACCTGAAATCTCTGAGCCTGGAGTTTAATCCCACGCCCAGGGCCCACAACAAACAGTTTTCACAGATCCTTTTATAGTACTTTCCCCATGACACACACACAAAGATTTTCATGTACTCACATTTAAGAAGTTAATCACCCAGATGTACAGTGAGAAGTCACACAAGGGATCTGAAACAGACTCACCTCAAGAAGAGCCTTGATGACAAGTTTAATAGTTAGATCATCTGTTTCAATGGCTTCATCAGTATAGTTTTTCTCCAGAAATTCACGCACAGATTTGGCTCCTCTGCCAATGGCATTAGCCTGGAAACATTGAGAGGGGAAAAAAGATAATGAATGGAAATTTAGAGAAGATTCCATTTGCAGAATAAGCAAGGAATTAGAGTTGTGCAATTATCTGAAAAATAATCTGAAAATAATCTGAAAGCATTTTGTGATCACCATGTATTTTTCAGGAGACTGAACATGTTACTGGCCAAATGTCACAGGAAAAGACAGTTGTCAGGCACAGGTGGTTGTTTTGGTTTGGTTTTGATGTTTGTTTTTAAAAAAACAGGACAAGATTTCCAAAGTAAAGCTACTGCAGACTGCCATTCTCAGTAAATTTGATCATCAAGAATTTCTGCATCTGTGAGCCAGCACCATCTGGCCAGTTAGATCTCCCTTCTACACCAATCTCTTTTTAAAGGAGACATTAACTCACAAATAATTCATTACTTCTCCACAAGAGACAGAATCAACTCACCTTCCAAGCATGGTATGTACCAGAAGGATCGGTCTGGTACAGCCGCGGGGTTCCATCAAAGTCAAATCCCACGATAAGAGCAGAGATACCAAAAGGTCTGCGACCGTTGCTTTGTGTGTACCTCTGACCAAAAAGAAGAGACACTTATTTCAGAAGCAGTTCAAAAAACATTTTTTAGAGTGGAATGCAGAAGTTCTAACCAGAAGAGGCACCAGATATCATTTTAGCAGGCTCTCTTACCACTCTAAAGTTAGGATGCCGTGTCTCTCAAAAGACCATAAGCAAGGCAAAAAAAGAGGTGGTTACTGTTCAACTCCTGCTCCTAATACCCACTGAGGTTTGCTGCGGGATTACAGCTTCCATGAGGAATCTCCCTCAGCTGGGTGGTGCTGAAAGCACCAAGCCTGCTATCCCAGGTGTAACACTCTGCTTTGACAAGCATGCTTAGGAAGCCAAAAAAAGAGGATGATGACACCTGAACACAAAGTCAGTTTTCACCAATGGCTTTCAACAATTGCATCAGAAAGCGCGGCACTCTGTGGCGATAAGCGGGCTACAGCAAAGCCTGTCGCAGCCCGCCTGCTGACACCGGTTTGGCAAAGTCATTGCCACATCACACACCAGAAGCGCCCAGGATGAAGGAGGTCTGACACCAGCAGCGTTATCGCAGGAATAAAAACACGGTTTGTAACAGTTTTAAAGAAATCAGGAATGTGCCAGAATGAAAGACACAAGTGGGAGATTACTGTAAAGGAACCATGTGAACCTTTGGAAACTAGTCTTCTGCTCTGGCAGGCTAGTGATTACACTGTTATCATCACTCTACTAAAACATGTCTGTGCGTCAGTAAATTACACTTTTTCTAATCCCCACTAGTTGCTGAAAATTGGTTTAATACACTGGCACATGAATAATTTTATCACAGAATGCAGCTGGCCATATTTTGACACTGTAATTAATTTTTAATTAATGAATATCAAATGTAAAATATATTAAGTACTCCACTGATTTGCTCACCTCTTACCCCTCCCTGAATGGCTTAGTAGGAGGGAAAACGAACAGAAGCCATGAAGACGTTTCGACAACAACACAGCGCCATTGTTATGAGAGTGAATGAGAGCTGTAGATTAGCAGAGTGTTCCTGATGATACCACATATGTAGTTATGCAGTCCTTACAAGTACTAATTAATTTCTTCATCTTTGGAAAAAAACCCAAACAGCAATCAATCCTCCTTTTCTATTACTACATCCCTATTTCCAATAAACACCCACAATGCGTTCTGTTACACTGATTTTTACCAGCTGAGTAGAACGAGGCCAGGACAGACATTTTACATACTTAGTCTGACGTGCTGTTCATCGGGACGTATTTTAAGCATCTCCGTGCGGTCCAACGTACCTGTTTCAGACTAGCAATGTAACGTGTGATGTACTCCACGGTGACAGGATCCTCCACTGTAAGTCTGTGGCTTTGACACTCCACACGAGCTCTATTTATAACTATCCTTGCATCAGCTGTCAGCCCTGAAATGACAGTGTATTCTCAGACTCACGCTTCATACCGTATGCACCAATAAAACAACCTGTCTTGCCCCAAAAGGCTCACAAGGTCAGCGTCAACAGCAATGAAAAAAGCAAATTTTTTATCACACTTTCCCAGGTTTGATGAGCAGGAATAGCATTTTTAAGGCATCAGAAAGAAACTAACGTACTAAAATAACTAGCAGATTCATTTTACAGCTTTCATATTTGTGAGTTAAATAACACATGCAATTCTGAACCAGGTAATCGCAATATTACTGACAGCATTCCATCTAACAGCAAATTAGCAAAGTGATCTCCATTCTCACACACATTAGTTTTATTTCACATGCAGTGCCCCTAGCTGTACGGCAGCTTTTTTCTGCGCAGCAAATCTTGTCTAGTTGGTGAGGCTACAGCAGCATGATGTTAGCTGACAGAAATTAGTATGGCCCTTTGGAAAAAAAAAACAAAAAACCTTCTCATTTTACCTTATGATGCTTTTTCAACTGACAGCCTTATTTCTATTAGAGAAGTCTTCTTCAAGCTCATGAACCCACCTGCACGTATCCCAACCCTTAGCTAAGGAAGCAAGACAGCAGAAGTAGCTGAGCCTATCACTCCTGCACACTAAATCTAAACCCCATTACTTCTGCCAGTTAAATTAGATCTCCCCTTAAAGCATTACTAACACTAAGATTCTAAACGAAAAGAGGAGAAACCTCCTGAAATACATTTTCTCTCCATTTACTTTGTGATTTAACTTTCATGCCTCCTGTTTAAGCTTTGAACAATGGAAATCAAGGTATTTGAAACAGGAAGAATGCGGAACTAGAATATTTATGCTTCAAATCCAGAGCTATTGATTCAAGAGTCCTCTGAACTAGAAGAGAGGAGATTTTTCTTTGTTTTATGCAAGACTGCAAAATTTACCTTTTTTTTTTTTGGCTTGATGCATGAGGGAAAAGGTCCCTGTAACTGACAAATGTCTCTTATAGCTCCTGTGATATGTATTAGTAATCTGTATTTTATATTTAATATATAAAT